AAAAATTACCACATTAATACATCAAATAGTAAACTACCATGTGTACGTCACGTGGGACGAATGCTGGTAATCTTCATTATGAATAACGTTACTTTTTTTTTGGCTCGTAATTGATACAGTGAATAGGACCTTGTTAGTCTAGGGTTTGATTTTTTTGCTTAAGCCTTGTTTCTCCTATGTTTAGGCCCATGGAAGATAAGGATCGACCCTCCTTCCTAAGGAGTTAACACCAATAAGAACATATTTGGTACGTAGTAGTGTACATAAGAACATATGAAATTTTAATTAATTAACTTTTATTCTTTTAGGAGTTTTTCCAATGCATCGATCTCATAATTTTTTGTATAATATTTTCTAATATAACGTACTATTGCGAAAAAGTATCTACAAAAGGCAAGGACGTGAAGGAATCATACTCATAAATGGAACAATTATAACAGATTGATTCATATTAATCCTCAAACTGAGATAGTTTAAACTTATAGATAAAATCGTAAAACTTTGAAGATTGAATCAATGACAATTAACTAGGAGTAAAAGTACAATACAAGAACAATTAACTCGTGAATTCAACCTTTAACCAAAAACGAAAGACGGAAACGATCAATTGATTAATCTTCAAGGACAAGTTTAATATACGATACTAGATAGTATAATAAATAAGATTTTACCTTCGTGTTACATTTTTACTGTCTATTATTGTCCAATTCACCTTATCACACAATCAGTACCTTAACCAGATCCACGGCCTAAAAGGGACAGAAAGGCTGTCTTCGTCGTCCTCCCACCAGTATCTCTTCTGAACCCAAAACACGACCTTGAAGATCCTCTAACTTCCTCATGGTGATGATCATAATCATGATCAAAAGACGATCCCCAGCTTGAAAACCGCCTTCTCCGGTGGCCGCAGGAAGGCGTCGTTGGATCAGAAAATGAAGACAGCGAAGATGACGTCGAAAATGATAAAGTTGACAAGGAATGGGACACTGAAGATGAAGGAGGAGATGAGCCCACATGAACAACTTTCTTAAAACTCATCCTTTTGAGTAAATTGTACAGAATCTTGGATCTTGAGTGCTTACTCGAGGACTTGTTGACGTTTTTATTGGAATAGTAAGAGGGAGGGGGAGTAAGTGGTGGAATTGAATTGTCAGAAAATGTGTGTTTAGGGGTTCCAGGGGTTGTTTCCCACACGAAGGGCACTGCACTAGAAACATCACCATAGTAAACTCTGAAAGACGGGTTAGACTTTGAGGTTTCTTTAGAGAGAAGCCTGGAGAAAATTTTTTCATCATCGTGCTTAATTCTGAATGATTTTTGCTGGGAATCTTGGCTACTGCTCAGCATCTTGATCAGCTTGAGGACGCTAAGAAGGAAATGAATATTGTTATGGTGAGAGAAGAGAGAGACAGAGAAAGCTTCAAGTGTGTTTTGGTGCAAATGGTGGCATTGGATTCAAAGACGGATTGGTTTATATATTAATAGCACGTTTAATGTATAGCTAAATTTTTGGATAGGTTTGGAAAATCTAGGGGTGTTCTCTTTGTATTTCAATTTTGTGTTTTTAGTTTTGAATTCATTTTTTGTTTTGTTTTTTGAGTATTCATTTTGAGATTGTTGAAAATGTGTTCTTTTTGACATTTTGAAAAATTGTTTTGAAAATACCAAAAACGCGTTTTGAAAATTTTGGCTTGATTATAATTGAAAACATCCAAAACGACAAATTGAGTTTTATTTCTATATTTTTAACTTGTTTTCAAAAACGCTTTTTCAAAAATAGGAAAGAATATGGGTTTTCACTATTTTGAAAAATCGAAAATAGAAAACGATTTGAAAATGGTAAATAGAACGTACCCTAAACTTTTCTAAAATTTTAAGAAGTGCAATAATTCAAAGTTCAAATTTGATATCAATTAATAATTATGGTACCTATTAGTAATAAATAGCATTGTTCTTTAGGGAACATTTTTTAAACCAAGAAATATTTGGATTTTTTATATATTTAAAAAAAAAAAATTTAAGCTTGTGGTTTTTTGTATCCAGCGGTGTGCATTAAATTAGTATATACATAAAGATTTGTGTCAAGATCAGGGGCGGACCTACATGAGGCCCAGTGGGGACCGCTGCTCCCACTCAATTTTCAGATTTCCCGATTTTTCTTCAGATTTTTCAGATTTTTTAAATTTTTTTTTGTCCAGGTTTTATTAGATTTTCAGATTTTTTTTTCAATGTTTTTTGGTTTCGCCCCCACTGAACTTCCTTCCTAGATCCACCCCTAGTCAAGATAATGTGTGCTTTAAGCGACTTACCAGATAAATACCGGAGCTTTTAATATTCAACTATTTATTAACTGTTTGGGGAAGTTAAAGTCGTTTACTCCTACATTAATTTTACTAATAGAATATTACGGTGTATGCATATTTACGTCCTTCAAGTAATGTAAGAGGTTAAAACGGTGTGCAAACTGCCAACTTGCTCTTCTTCATTCGTCATCTTATATTTTTCTAACTGAGATATATAAATATTTTATAAAAAATTTGATGACTTTTCGATATTAGTAGGTAGAAAGAAATCGAGTTATAAAATAATTATTAGAGGTCGGTCTAGAGTTTGTAAGGTTGTATTACTTATGTTTTATGCTAAAGGTCAAACTTCAAGTTCCATTTTTGCCCTTTTGGTTTCATCCTTAAGGAAACGTTGTACTTATCAAGTTTGATTTTTCTTAATTTCTTTTTTGACAAGTCGATCCAGCCATTTTACACCTTAAAGATTGTGCATCCTAGGAATAATAACTTAACATAATACCATAAAAATGATATTCCCGCCCCTCGGGGCATAACTTAGTGGTACAAATGACAGGAGTGAGATAGTCTCAATTTAGCGGCAGACTCAATGTGAGGGTTAGATTCCTGCCTTTTACAAAGTATGAAATTTGACTCTTTGTGGGTACCAGTATGACAACTCTTATACCCTGACCTGTTGAGGCACATCCCGCGATTTACCTTCTCCACAATGCTCTAGGATTGGAATGGTAGGGGACCCTCAAAATTGGGATTCAACCTTTATAAAAACAATATTCTTCATCTTATGATATATATATATATATATATATATATACACACACACACACACCCACATGCATTTGCCTGGAATGTCCATCACTTGTGAGGTATACAGACTAAATATATATTTAAATAGGTTCAAGTAGGGCCAATGAATAGTGATCTTATAGGTTTTTTTTTTTTAATATTTTTTTGGGTGGGCGTGGGCGATGATATTAATTTATCAACAACCATAGCTGTGGGAAATGAGAAATTTGGTATAATTTATTCCAATATTCCTTGGTATTGGATTGGATCTGAAATTAATACGATCAACTGATCGAGTTGTGGACCTTTGTAGACTGACTTCTTCTAAAAATATCTATTTTAATTTTATTTCAATTTATCCTATCATTTAAGTAAATCTTAAAATTCATTTGGTTTCAGAATAAGAATCCGAATTTTGGATGGTAGTTCTTTGTATTTATTTATAGTTGGCCAGGATGGAAATAACTATTTCAACTCTAATTGGAAGGAGAATACCTTTACTTAATGGTATCGAACCTCGATCTACACAAGTAATCTATGAAAGAGTCGTTTAATTGTATTTATTGAATATTGAAATACATATCGAACAAACGATGTATTGTAGATATTGCATTTAGGGATTATTCGAATGGCAAGAACATGTGGCAAATAAATGATTAAACAAGACAACTAATAAAATCATATTTATTTGTGGTGAAAACATCTAAATATTAGTGAAACTAGAATTTTCTCTCGACTATGTGAACGATGACAAATATAATTAATCATTATGCTTGATACGTCAAAGTAAGTAAGATTAACACGATTACAAGTAAAAATCTCTCATTTATTGTCCCTAAGATTAACACGATTACATGTAAAAATCTCTCATTTATCGTCACCAGAAACGTAAAAAAGATTATGGACCTTAAACTAAGTATGAACTATTGTTAGGCATGGAGATCCAACGTAAAATACTCTTTCTTTCTCTTTCTCTTTATATTTTTCTTCTTTTATAATGAATTAATGATCTGTAACATGGGTCACCAATCACAATAGTCGTATATGCAATGATTCATTCCCTCTGACACACCACCATGCGTGGTAGAAATGGAGAAACTCCTAAATCTTTGGCTAAGGCTTTGTGTTACAGAGAGAATTGTTTGTGGTTATGTTCATGTCCAAACTCAAATATTTGCGGTTGTTGGGGGCAAACAAGTCCCACATCGGTT